TCGGCATATTGTTTTTCAGACCTCATCATAAGGCATAGTACATAGTAGACATATAAATATAGTAAAACTTGAGAGTTGTTCAGTGTATTCACAGGACAAAGACCGTCAGGCATTAATATACTTGAATTGTCAGGCACCATTGCTACCTAAAGGGAGCTAGCATTAGATGGGGAGAAACTATGAACCAAACCTGCACTGAACCACTGTATAGCAATATGAGAGTCGGTTTAAGCTATTCAAACTATTTTGAGAGCAAGACAGCTATGAGTCACTTCAATGAACTCCTGTCACAACTGATACTCTATGAAAGTACACAAATCTGATAGAGACAATACCAGTCAATTCATGTTCTGACGTTCCTATTCCAGTAACAGAGTCCACAACTTACTATTGATCATTTTAAGGTAACTTTTACCTCATTGATTGGGCAGCATTAAGAAATTTAGAGGCTTTGAATATATATCTGTGTACCCATATAAATTTAAAGCAGACCAACACATTTGTGATCTATCTCAAGAAGATTTTATAAATGCTTATTTGAAATATGAAATATGTAATTCTCAAAAAAATTAGTTTTTCTGCTTTGCACATGCTTAGCATAGAAAAGCGTTCCTCTGTAAAATGTATAATGTTCAGGATGGAATATCGGAAGTTCTAGACATTGCTACCTCTCTAGGTGATTTGAACGTAAGATATTGTAAGGCCTAATTATCTTTTCTTCTCTGACCTCATGCTTCTGAGGATGATTCATAGAATAACTACTGAATAACTTCAACTTCACTATCCCGAATCAAAGGCTTATTGAAGATTAAATGAATAATATCTCAGTTTTCATTTCTATTCAACCTAATAGAAAAATGGAACTACAGAACAGGAGATGCATTAGGCATAGGAAAATGCTCACAAAGCTGTTTTTAAGTCAATTTGACACATCAAAACTGAGAATGCCAAAAAGTGTATAGTGATACATAGATTTTGCTACTTTTAAAAACAAAAGTAAAGAACTTTTACATTACGCCCTGCTCCATATAATCCTGTGCGTTGCCAAATTGGTTTAAAGGTTTATGACATTTTAAACTATATTCTACCAGTTTTTTATACAGATGGTTCCTGACTTATCAGGGTTTGATTTTCAATTTTTGGACATTATGATGGCATGAAAGTGTTATGCATTCACTGTATTCCTTGACTGACAAAGAAGGTAGCACATCCAGATAAATCCATTGCAAGCTAAGGAGCATGGATATATATAGTTTACATGGTATCTTTTTCTAATACACACTGTGACTCTCTTCATGCCATAAGTGCTCAAATATTGTTAGCAGAATTATGATTTGATTTTGAAAAACTGATATACAATTTTATAAGTACTGATATACAATCTGAATTCCAACTAAGTATTTTATTTACAATTTAAGATACCAATTATAAAACAGCACTACTTTAAAACACACACTGTTGCCAAAAAGGACCTTTGCTCTTTACAAATGGCTAAGATCACAGACAGATTTTCTAGCAGAAAACGATGAAGAAAACCCAATAGAAAGCCTTAAAAGAAAAAAATTTGAAATTGCTCATACTGCTAATTAAGAATTTAGAAAAATGACATGAACTTCATATTAAGTATATCATAATTTCTCTAACACCAGTGTAAATGTTCTTTCCATTTCTGAGCTGTTACAGTGTGGGAAAAACTGACCTTATGGTGTCTTTTATTTTAAGTAAAGAAATTAACTTCATACCTTAAAAGTAGTCATCACTGTTTCACAACCTCGTTATTGTCCCAAATAGTTCCAAGAATTATTATTTTTTAAAATTCTTTTGACACACCTTACTGGATTTTTACTCTATTGTACGTATTGCTAAGTATTAACCTTTTCATGAGTATACTTTTTTCTTTCAAGAAAACTTCTTTTGAACTGTTATCACCATTGCTGTCTCTCAATGATACCAAGACCATTTTTACCAATTACCTAGTAATAACAATAATAATACTAAAAGCCTACATGTTTGTTTTAGTTCTTACTGAATTTCTCTGAAGAACTTGATCTAATTGCTTCTCATCTAATTTTTTGGACTACGGGTAACAAATGTTGGATGAGTTAAATAGAGTGTTTCCCATATCTTACTACGTACAATTTTTTACTACATAAAATTCTATAAAAGATTATTTTTTCAATCAAACACTATTAAACTAAAATCATTGAAGCTTATCTCAAACATTCATTCTAAGCCCGCTTTATTCATGTACTTTGTCCTTAATTTCTAAGTTAATAAGATAAATTACCTACATCTGGTTCCTTCAAATCTTACACATTTTTCCGAGTTCATAAAATATTATACATTTAAATCATTTAAAAACACTCTGACCTATCTCTATTAAACACATTGCTTTTAGAGCTAATAATTAACTATCAATCATTGACATAGTTGATCCTCCTTAGTTTCACCAAAGCTTCTCAAATCTTAAGATTAAAAAATATATATATTCTTAAATAGCTGGAATTTTACATCTATTCCCTCTCATTCATTTTTTTTCTGTTTTCTGGGATATATTTATTTTTAGCTTTCCTTAAAGAAAAGTCTTAGGTATTAGTTAGCTGTTGAGTTAGGTAGATAGTGCAGTTACCTCCCATGCTTCCCTTTCTGCGCAGCTGATCACTCGTCCTTTTCTATTGTTATAATTTGTTACATTGCATATGACAAAAAGCAAGATACTTGTCTTATGCCATGCCTGCAATTTTTCCAATAACACGCCATAAATATTTTCCTCATCTAACACATTTCTGTAAACTCACAACTAAAAATTTAAGGTATTGGAGCACAGGCCAAAGTGGTAGTGGCAGCTGAGAGGCATTTTTGTATCCTGTCTGCCCTCTACAAAGCAGAGCCAAATCTGGGTCATTATATTCAGTAGGGAGTTTTGAAACACCTTCCAACTTTGTACAGCAGGATGTTGAGTGTCTTTTGACCTAGTTTTACACACAGGAAATGCAAGACTGCCAGACCATAGAGCCTGGAAGTGTTAGGTTCTTAGATCTATGTCTTTTAGTTGCTGAAAGGATTCCTAAAATGTTAGCTTCATGATTCTTCCCTTTCCAGGAAACAATAATGTAATTATGCTTGCTACCTCTTGGCTCAGAGGTATCTATTCCTCCATATGACTGTTTCAGGTTGTATGCAAATTAAAATTGACCAAGATGGTCTTAGTATTTGCCTCAATTTCACTAAACTTTGGACAGAATTCTTCCTGACTCTAAGCTGACCCTTCTTTTTTCAGACTACTCATTTTAAAAAACATGGAATTGTAATTTTTTCTCTAATCTTTTGAGATGTTAAGTCTTTTTAAAAACCTCTTGCTAGTTTTACAACCCAGTAATTTTTTTTTCCCCAAAGGCCTGAACATCACATCTTTGAAATGTAAACATCAAGGGAAATAGCTCCCCTATGCCTCAGTTTCTGGAGGAGAGTAGAAGCCTAACTTGGGTGAACACGTTGCTTCAAGTTGTAAAACTATCCTCGTGCAAAGATGAGAAAGTTTACTTTTTCTTTAGTAAAACCAACTAACAAACACAGATGGGCCTGTGTTCTCCCTCTGACCTTGGCACTTAAAAATCCTCCCTTCCTTCATTTCAGTAAACTTCAGACTGAGTTTGGGTCTCTCTCCTAATGCAATATCCTTGAATAAAGTCTTCTTTACCTGTTTAACTTTGTCTAGTATGATTTTCTCCATCAAAATATTACTTTAAAACTGGTAAGACCAAAAAATGTCTAAGTATTTTCCTCACATTGATACTTTGAGATTAAGCAGCCAGAGTATGTGAACTTTTTTTTTTTTTCCAGTAAGCTTATTTACTGAGTATTATCTTAGTGTTAGCAAATCCCTCTCCAGTATAAGTGAAATCCTTAAAGAGGACAGAGTCCTCCTCGTTCCCAGGTGTTTGGGCTCCAGTGTCTGATCTTCACAATGTCATCTCATTTTTCTGTTAGCAGAAATGCTGTAAAAATAAAACTCCTTAAACTACATTCCTGCTGCTTTGATAACTAGGCCAGAACCTGTCTATCTTCATCTCACACTAGTATTAAGAATTTAGGTAAAATGAACCACATTCCATCTATAAGAAATAATACATAAAACAAACCATCAATATATACTGTCTGCGTTGGTTTCTTTCACAAGATTTTATGTCCTCCTCTTCTGGCTAAATGTAAACAGTTATTAAAAAGTGTAAGCCCTGATAATGCTCTGTGTGTTTTACGCCTTCTAACTCTCTTAACATTTGGCATTATATCACATTTATGTCCTCATCTACATCTTCTGTTCATTTGGTCTGTGAGCTTCACGAGGGCAAATACATAGATTTGTTAGTTATTCTCTACATATACAATTAATACTTGCATACTGAGTAAAATTCAACAAATATTTGCTACAATGGCAAAATTATTTGAATGCACCAATAACACAATACAATGATCAACAGAAGATGTCAACATAGTAGATCAGAAAAAAAAAACTTCAAAAATATCATTTGCACAACTCTAAGTATCTATTGTCCATTTCAAATGATTTGTTAAGTCCACATTAAACATTCTGTGAAAGTTTTTACATTAAAGTAAGACATTTCAGGGAAAAAGTTATTTGAACCCATCATTTCCAAAAGAAAAGACAATTAGAATCTCCTTTCTTTCCTAAGCAAACATGGTCATAAACAAATTTTTATTCAATAATTTGTATCCACCCTGTTTCTCTCCCAGGTTCTACTATTTACTTATTTATGTAAGCCAGTTTAAATCCTTTGTGGAAGAATGAAATGTATATGCATACATATATACATTTGTAATTTCACTGATAATAAAAAGTTAGTCTGATTTTTGATCTACTAAATAGTATTCAACTGAAAAGATACAGAATTTTTTTAAAAGCTTTAAATCCGGTACTTAAAGGAAATGAGCTAAAATTTAAAAGACGTCAGTATGATGTTACAATTACTTTGCCATACCTGTATATGCAAATTGGACAAGGTCCCAGAGAGCATTGGGGTCTATGCCTTCCATTTTGATCTCCTCTTGCTTGGCTTCACAAACATCACTTGTAAACATGGCCGCAAAATAGTCGGAGACTGAACTCAGAACAAGCCTGAAAGAGTAACAGGTTCTAATTTAGGTCGTGAATGTAAGGCAGAAAATCACTGTGTCAACCAGAATGCAACGCAGAGCACAGAATCAATCTATTGATCAATCAGTTAATGCATTTTATTTATTGCCTCATGAGTTGTACTTTACAAAACTGATTGAATAAATCTTCCCCTAACTTTTCGTAATAGAGCATTCTCATACCTTTTCTTCTATCACTTTAAAGATGTTTTTTCTTTCACATTTAGGGCTTCAGGCTTTTTAAATAATACATTATAGTTTTCTTTATATAATGACCCACCTTCCACCATGCTAACTTTCCCCATTGAACTATCGTGAATTTGAACGCATAATGTATATTGATCTGCTGATGAGATTTTTATTACGTTTTGTTTATTTGCCTGTTCTTGTGCCAATAAAATAGTATTTTAAAAATATATATCTGTCTTTATAACCCATAAGGCAAATCCCTTTCTTTAATATTTTAAATTTAACTATTAGTTACATTTTATTCTTTAATAAGTAGAGTTTTAGGCTTTCAAGTCTTAAGTAATATTTTAAGTTTTAAAAATAATTCCTAAAGCATTTTGATTTAAAAATGCTTTAACTTTTTTATTTTATTTGGGGAGATTTGGTATAATTTTCATACAAATTCATTCCATCTAAAAGTATAAAATATCTATCCCTATATTCAGGATACTTTGTTTCCTTTTCAATTTTAAAGTTTTCCTGAAAATTGCTATATAGATTTTTGGTTGATTCTTATATCGTTACAATTTTGTTGGCTTTGTATATACTATCTACTTTTTATTCTATTTTTGTTGGTTTGTTTTTCTGTTATAATTTATTGAGAAATTCATAGATTCATCCTTTATCTGGTACATCTGGTGAATTATTTTTACTAGCTCTTTTGATTCTGCTATTTCTTTTTACATTTAGGTAGATGACTACATCATCTGCAAGTGATATTCTTTTGACCTATTCCTGTTCATTCTGTATAACTCCTCTTCTTTCTCTTTCTTTACAACCTCATCTACTACCTCCAGTGCTGTGACAGAGGCATTTTGTGTTGTTTTCTATATTAACAGGAATGCATCTAAAATTTCTCTCTTCAGTATGATTCCTGCTGAATATATTTGGAATATAAGTTTTACTAAGTCAGAAAAACCTCTTTAATTTCTAGTTTTGCAAACAATTTTTATAATATTTGGTATTAAAATTTATAATGTTTGAATGATACTTTTAAAATGGAAAAATATTATGATATTTTCAAGTATAATTATAAGATAAATAAATCTCTAATTTTATTTTCTTGTATTTTCCAGATTTTTGAATCGAGGTTATAGTGGTCTCATAATATGAGCTGGGAGTTACAACCTTTTAATGTTGTGTAACAACTTTTAGAATAAAGCAATTACTTTTTCCTTTAAGATCTTTCAGAAATTACCTGAAAAACCGTCTACATTTGGCTATTTTGAAGAAGACTTTTCTAATATCATTTCCATTATTTACTAACTCACGAAGCTTATTCAAATGCTTTATTTCTTCATATATTCACTTTTGCATCTTAAATTTCCCAAAGATTTTTTCACTTTATTTAAATCCTAACATTAATTTATTTGTCTATAATTTCAACATTTTTTTAAAGACAGTATCTCATTCTGTTGTCTAGGATGTTGTTCTGTGGCACGATGATAGCTCATAGCAGCCTTGAACCCCGGGGCTCAAAGCAATCTGCTTGCCTCAGCCTCCTGAGCTGGGACAACATGCACAAACCAGCACACCCAGCATGGGTTCTAAAATGTTTAATGTATATTGTTCACAAAATTACATTTGGTTTTAGTTGTACCAATTTATATTTGTTTTAAATTTGTTCTATTTGTTCTTTGGATAAATCTTTACACAGTAATTATTTCATATCATTCATTATGTTGACTACATGTTTTTCACATGTGTGTATGCACATACATGTGTGTTTAAAGTGGTTGCTCTATGGCAGGAACCAGAAATTTGTTTTCTATAAAGGGCCAAATAGGAAATATTTTACATGTTGAGAATTATACACATAATCTCTGTTGCATATTTTCCTTTTAAAAAAAAACTCAATCAATTGAAAATTCAAAAATGAATTTTAGCTTATGGTCTACACAAAAACAAGTTGCACAGCAGATTCGGCCCCTGCTCGGATATTTGCTAATTTTGTCCAACGATCACATTAACCAATAACAGTCTACCTTCATGGATATTGTAAGAAATTTGCAACATAAAACACTCCCTCTGCTAGTCAAAAATCTAAAAGAAGAACATAACTGTGATAGCAAAAATATATTTAAATTTACTGCGTTTTTCACCATTTTTGATGCTTTCCATTCATTTTCAAAGTCGACTTTAATCTGATCTCAATATTGGAAGAAATATCTTTAGTTATTTCTTGTACTATAAGTCTGATGGCAAAAAATAAAAAAATATATATACAGCTTTCATTTATTTGAAGATGATTTTATGTAGTTACATGTCTAGTACATTTTAAAAGTTATTTACACATGTTATAGAATTCTAGGGTGAGGTTTTTTTTTTTTGAAATTGAAATATAGAATTTCATTATAAATTAGACACCACTGCTGGAGTTTTTTTTTTTTTTTTTGTCAATTTGTTTGTTTGTTTGTTTTAAAAATAAGGTCTTGCTTTGTCACTCAGGCTGGAGTCCAATGACACAATCATAGCTCATTGGCACCTCAAACTCCTGGGCCCAAGTAATTCTTCTGCCTGAGCCTCTCAAGCAGCTAGGACCACAAGCATTCACTGCCATGCCTAGCTAGTTTTTGTATTTTTTGTAGGCAGGGTCTTGCTATGTTGCCCAGGCTGGTCTGGAGCTCCTGGCCTCGAGTAATTGTCCTGACTCAGCCTACCAAAGCATTGGGATTTCAGGTACGAGACACTACACCCAGACCACCTTGTTTTTAATAGAAAGCTAGCTTTCATTCTTACAGTTGTTCTTCTGATGCAATATGCCCTTTCTTTTTGTTTTCAACTTTTTTGATCTTAGGGTTTTAGTTATTTAGCTATAAGTGGGACTTAATATTTACTCGCCATATGATTTTCTGTACTTCCTGGAGTAGTGAATGGATCTTTGAAAGCAATTTTTGAAAATTATCTGCAAATAATTACTCATATTTTCACCAAATTGACTCTCTGACCCATTCTAGGACTCAAATTGCATATATGGTTCAACAACTGAGAATGCTACACAGACTATTCAATCTTAATTCATTTTACACTCAATTTTTGTTTTGCTCTCTGCTTTACTTTAGGTAATTTCTAATCAGTTGAATTTTCTCGAATGTCTTTATATTCCCAATTGCTGTATTCTTTGTTATCTATCTTTTCCTATAAATATTTTGTATTATTTATGATAGTTACTTTTTTTTTTCTTTTCTAATACTTTAAAGATCATGGTCATCTCTTGGTCAATTTCCATTGACTGATTTTTATTTGAGACATCGATAACATTCTCCTACTTTTTCCATTTACAGTCAAATTTGATTCTATAACAGATATTGTAATTCCCCAACAAAAAAGTAGAGGCTAAGAAGGGAACTGGCCTTTAGTTCTTAGGTGTTGTTATTTGTTCTCTGTTTTGTTTTGTTTTGGTTGTTATTGGTATATTCACAGCTCTTTGATTGCTTTAAAAATAAAGTAAAATTATTTGGTTTATCTGATAGAAAATTTAATTACAAATACAAGTATGCCTTATTTTATTGCATTTCACTTTACGGTGCTTTTCAGATGTTGCAATTAAAAAAAAAATAATTGAAGGCTTAAAGCAACTCATTATCTAGCAATCCCATCAGCACCATTTTTCCAACAGCATGTGCTCGCTTCATGTATCTTCGTCACATTTTGGTCATTCTGGCAATATTCCAAATATTTTATTGTTATTATGTCTGTTACATTAATGTGTGACTAGTGATCTTTGATGTTACAATTGTTCTTGTGTTGGGGTGTCATAAACCCATATCAGACAATAAACTCAATAAGTACTGTTCTGACTGCTTCACTAACTGGCCACCCCCTCATTACTCCCCTTCTCCATGGGTCTCCCTATTCCCCGAGACACAATATTAAAAACTAGGCCAACTAGTAACCCTGCAATGCCCTATAAGTGTCCAAATGAATGGAAGTGTTGCATGTCTCTCACTTTAAATCAAAAGCTGGAAATGATTAAGTTTAGTGAGGGAGACATGTAGAAAGTGGAACAAGAGCAAAAGCTAAACCTCTTGTGCCAAACACTTAGTCAAGTTGTGAATGCAAAGGAAAAATTCTTGAAGTGAATTAAAAGTGCTACTCTAGTGAACATATGAATAATAAGAAAGCACAACAGACTTATTCCTGCAATGGAGAAAGTGAATGATCTGGATAGAAGATGAAACCTGCCACAACATTTCCTTGAGCCAAAGCCTAATCCAGAGCAAGGCCTTAACTCTTTCAATTTCATGAAGGCTGAGAGAGGTGAAAAAATTGCAGAAGAAAAGTACAAAGTTGGCAGAAGTTAGCTTATGAAGTTTAAGGAAAGAAGTCTTCTCCATAACATAAAAGTACAAAGTGAAACAGCAAGTGGGTTGGTGCAAAAGTTATTATGGTTTTTGCCATTATTTTTAATGTCAAAAACAGCAATTAATTTTGTCCCAACCTAATAGAAGCTGCAGCTTCTATGATCATTGATGAAAGTGGCTACACTAAAAAACAAATTTTTCAATGTTGACCATATATTTAAAGAAGATATCATCTAGGATTTTCATAGTTAGAGAGAAGTCAATGGCTGGCTTCTAAGCTTCAAAGGACAGGCTAACTCTCTTTTTAGGGACTAATGCACCAGTGAGTTTAAATTGAAGCCAATGCTCATTATCATTCTGAAAATCCTAGGGCTCTTAAGAATAACACTACCTCGAAGATGGCCGAATAGGAACAGCTCCAGTCTCCAACTCCCCGCGCCAGCGACACAGA